CTAATTGCAGAAGGAGAAATTAAGATCTACAATCCTTGTACCTCTCATAGCTTATGATTAAAAATATGTCGAGAACAGTCAAAGCATTGGCTTTCCTATCTCAAAGCATACCTGTATCTGTTGGAGACTGTGTATATCTTTGAGAAAATCAGCTGGCTTTTTTTTAATCTTTTAATTTCATCTAAAATGAGGGAAAGGAAAATATTTGACTCAATTTTATCTCAAGTAGCTATAAAGTTCTGGAATTCACATGGCATAATGTAGCTTATGTTAGTTTCTTGCTTCATAGACTATAGCTACTATTGCTGCAATAATCTTATTTATTTACATCCTAAGTGTCAAGAGTTTAACAGATGGTATAGAAACAGACTAGTTTTATCCAAAAAATTGTATGTTTTATTTTTCTAATGCAGAATATTGCTATTTTTCCCGTCATCTTCCCTGCAGACATGTTATCTTTGCTCCAAGCAGCCATAACAAGTATGCAGGAGAATCTTTCCCAGGAATCTATGATGCCATGTTTGATATCGAAAACAAAGCTGATCAACGTGAAGCCTGGGAAGAAGTGAAGAGGCAAATTTCCATTGCAGCCTTCACTGTACAGGCAGCAGCAGAAACACTGAAAGAAGTAGCTTAAATATCAACAACATAATCATCAGTGAAGACAAAATACAGAATTTTGCAAGAAGTTTTAAAAATGGATCATTGAAAAACTCTAAGAGGATTATTATAAAGAACACAAAATAAAAAAAATCTTGTTCTTTGCAAATAATATACCCAAGTGGAATGCATTTAGCAATGTTAACAAGGTAACGTACTCCATTCCGAGAGCTCTGGATTTAGATATCTTCTGAAGTGAGAGTGAAAAAGTTTCAGGTTTTCTCTCAGCTTTGTATTTTAAGAATTGCTAACCACTGGATTTATTTTCAGAGCTTTGAATTTTGCTAGCTTGATTATTATAGCAGTTTTCATAGTGCGTCAGGAAAACAGAATTAATTTCATGTTTCTATCAGTTTATAATTTTGTTGTTGACTTTTTATTATTTTCCTTGGGATTGTATCATTCTACTCCAAGACAGACATTTCAGCCCTCCTTTTACTCAAAGACTCATGTATGAAAATGGGAAAACTGTGACATACCATTTGCGGGATGTATAACGATCATAACAAGTTTTGGGCAGCCAGCCCAGAATACTCATCCATGACATTCTTCTTCTCACATGCTGAACCTTGAATCTGTTTGCAAATAAATTTAAGCAAGAAGCTTTCTAGTCACTGGAGTAAAAACAAGGCAGACATATAGTCATCTCACAAAATGTCTTTTGAGAAGATGACCTTCTTTTATCCAAAATCTACCTTTGCTATGCCTTGTCCATATAAAGTTGTTTTTAATATGAAGACAATTAGAAGCAAAAAAAAATTCATCATGTCCTTAGTTTGAAAGGATACAAAATTATTGCCATTTTGTAAAGTCTCTATTTCTGATTTTGGTGTGCTGCTTACTCTTATGATGGACTGCTTGAAAGATCACAGTGAGGCAACTGAGATCAGACAGAGAAGACTCAGAAAATCAAATCCCTTCATCCGACATTCTGCCCTGGAGGATTATTAACCTCTTGCACAGCTAATATTTTGTGTGATAAAAACATTCTACTCCCTAGATAATTTCTTGCTGTCAGTCTTCTATGGAGTCTAGATATAGCCACTGGAGCTCCATTCGTCAAAGGCTATTCAAGGCAAAAATAGCTGGTGTCATAACTGGACAGCAAATGCCAAAGCCTATGTAGCTAATTACTGAAGCTACCTGATTTTTAGTCAGCTATGCAAGCCATATGTCAAAATATATGCATGGATGCATATGCAGCTGTCCTTTTCCTATGTATGTCACTAGGATTATGACTTCTAAGCAGAAAGCATAAAATGAAAGAGTAGTTGCATATGCACTGAGAAATGTAATTTCACATGACTCAGTTACTAGAATAATACAAAGAAGTAAGGGTCATATTTCACATTTATGAACAAAATCAGGCCAACTGACATTTGTCAACAAATAGAGACATCTGATTCCTGCCAGACAAGTGGAGAACAATGGTTAAATAAATAATATGCATTCAAAGCAGACAGGTGGAGAATAATGGTTAAATAATAAGTAATATGCATTAAAAGCAGTGTTAATAAGTTCTTGCAAACTTTTTAGCTGTACTTTGATTCTTGGAGCTCAAAAAAACCATCTGAACTAGCCACATGAGCATGGAAGTGTATGCTTTGAAGGAGTTTAGTAAGGACAGGCCAGATACAGGAATAGCTCCTTTTTAAGCCAATGTATTTTTTGTTAGATCTGCCAAGATATCTCAGGGGCATAGATGCTACCTAACTCGATCCCTGAGTGTGAGATCAATTAAATTAAAGAATCTGGAAGAAGTGAAGTGAAGTGAAAAAGGAGCAGTGTTTTTTTTTAAGAAAGTATTGCTATCATATGATCACAAATTGGATACTGTTCAGGTTTTCCAAATAACTCCATACAATGATCATCCTGTGCACTAAGTATGTAAATCAAATGAAATTAAAACATACTCATGTGTGGAAAAGGAAGAAATTATACCTGTATTAAAATGAATCCTTGCTTTCATGAAACCAGCAATGTCAATGTTACTTTGGCTGGAAAGTCTGTTGACCTCACTGAATGATTTCTGAATTCCTCTTGTAGAAGAAAGAGTCAAAGTTTGCAATCTGGACTTGTCAGCTGCCAGCAATGTAAATTTTATTTTAGCTGGAATCTGATAATGGACTCATGAAGTTCAAGATAACAAAGACTCTGACTCAAAGCATCAACATCTACTACCATTTTAAACTGATAGGAAGACTGTAGAGGCCGTGAGAGAGTTCAGGGGTCTGTGCAACTGGCAGAGTCAGAAGGAAACTACTGATTTGAAATAGCAGTTGAGCATTCCCCTGTTGCCATTTTTCCTGCCAGGGCTGCCTTTCCCACAAACCAGGGCCCTTTGAATTCTCAAGCTACAAGTTCAACCTTTAGTCAAACAATAGGTCAGGCAACGCAATCAAGTAGCACGTCTTTCTTGCTGCAAATGTTAAGCTTTAGGACGCAGTTGCTGAGCAGCTACAACCTACAATTTACAAGCCCTGCCATTTTTCCTGTATGTTATGTGTTTTTATGCACTATTACTGGCTTTACTAATTGGCTGCATAGCATAATTATGTATTCAACACACACATGCATGGTAGTTTTGCATCTGGCATGTGTATCCTTGCCATTCTTTGAGCTTTTCTATTTTACTAGGGATTTACATATTTTGACTAAGTAGAACACGTGTAACTACCTGCAAGTTCTGATAGCTTCAGCTGAACATGAGGCTTGTTTTCACTCTCAGTGTGAGCAAAAAGTTAGGGAAGACTCCATTGTAACTGCTGGGATCAGTCGATGTGCGAACCTATTTTCTCTGCCATAGGGACACCTATTGGGTAAGAACCACACTCTATGTGCACTGAATACTTTTATTTGGGATTAAGCCTTGTCTATGTATTGCTTTGAATACATTCTTGCATCAGGTAATATCACCGTCAGTCTTCGAACCATAATTTTGTATTAATAAAGAGCATAATTCCATAACCCATCACCGTGAGTCCTTCACGGGTGCTGGCAGCTGCCAGCAGTAGGTAACACACTTGAATAAGGTGGGAAGACCTGCTGAGGGGTCTCCTTTATGCTGTTGGTGTATTTCCCTGAATAAGTCAGTCAAACTGCCCTCCAATCCAGCAGGACTGTTCAGTGAAGGGTCCCCATGATTGGATGCTGACAGACTAGTTGAGCACAAGGGTCTCAGCTTTCCTGGGGAACTGACAGACGAATAAAACACTGAGAGTCAAGGAAAACTCCCCACAGCAAGGGACAAGGAAATCTCCCCTTTTCACATGACAGTCATATATGGCAACTCTGGCATAGAGGAGTTGGGAGTGAAGGTTAAGCTAAAAAAATGGATGCAGTGGGGGAGAAGATGTTGTTTAAATTTTTGTCTTTGTTTCTCACTATCCAAGTCTATTTTAATTTGTAGTAAATGAAATTATTTATCCCTAAATGGAATCTGGTTTGCTTATAATGGTAATTGACAAGCAATGTCCTTGTCTTTATTTCAACCCATGACCTTTGTCATCTTATTTCCTGTCCCTGTCCTTTGTGGAGGGTATGTGGTTGAAGACAGATTTACACTGTATGTTATATTGCATTTAATTGTAACATAATATACTCCACCTGTGGCCAATCCATGGCATGTAAGAACATATCACAACTAATAACTAATATTAGGACTGTATTTTAAGTGATAGAAGCCACCTTGTTGCTGCTGTTATTCAACCTCAGCATTGCTAATGCCCTTGTCAATTTAAAAAGATGTAGGCATAGAAATAAATACATTTCAAACATTCTCACTGTTGCTATTTTTATCTTCTTCCTCTACTGATGTTATCATGTGAGGTCTAAGTTTTTTATCAATTTCCAAAAGCCCTTGTCATTTTACTGTCTATTATGTGCCAGTCCTACACCTGTGGCGCTATATAAATGCTAATAATACATCAATATGCTCATTCTTTATGAGTTCTGTAGGTGGAATTCCATCTGGTTTGTATATGCCAACTGAGATGCTGGTGTGAAATGTCATTGCTGTTCAGAATTTGTGATGGCTTATGAGCAGTTGGGAAATGACAGGGAAAAAAATCACAAAACTGGACGTGCCTATAATTTGAACAAAGACATCCAGCCTGTGCTTGAAATGGTGGCTATCACTGGTGCAGAATACCCAAGTCCTTATTTTCTGGAAAGCCGTAGTGAAGCAATTAGGATATTAACTAGCCTTTTCAGCTTTTTCTGAATATTTTCAGCTCAACCTTATGTGTTTAAGAGAGTTTTGATACTCAGAGTACTGATATTTCTTTCACAAAATGTACCTACTTTGGACTTTGGGAGTGAGTAGTAGGAACTTGAAGCATTCCAGGCTCCCAGAAAAGCTTTCCTATCTTCAGCCATATAACTGGTCTCAAATGGGCAGGTCCTCAGTTCCAGAAAGATCAGTCTTGGCTTCCATATAGCCATGCAGGAACTCACCAGCAGGTAGTGATGTGCGGGGTCAGAGTAAGTTTGTACAAAAATATGATGAGTCTATGAACCTATTTTTTTGACTATTCCCTGGGCTGAAGTTGTGACCATGAGATACTGGTGGATTTGACTGAATTAGACTAAGAAAACTTGATCTTAAGAACCCTGAAGTCTTAAGTGTAAAAAGCTAGAGAATATAGAGAATAATTTTGCAACTTTTCACAGTTCCAAATTGGATGATGCCTGGAAGTGTCCTCACTGGGTAATCTAAATTGTTTTCTTAGCTGCTCCAAGTATTCATCACTTGACAAGGATTAATGTTACTATGGATTACTAAAGGAAGCAATTCAGTGCTTCATTGGTAAAGAAGAAACAAGTTTTCCCTTATTTTCATCTCTTGGCCACTTCCACTGGAACAGATTGTGATCAAGCCTAAACCAAGAACTTTCAAACCCAGGAACTCCTGATAATTAATAGAAATTAGCCTTTTAAATAGTACTTGTAAACTGCTTGGTGCACAGCCTAGATACATATCTGTCACAGAAATAGACTGGAGCTGTTTAGTGGGGTGAGACTCGGAAGTGTTTTATTGCTCTCAGAAAATCATATCATCATCATCCTGGGTTAAGGCTGATTAGGCAGCATGAGAGCTGAGAAACACAGAAGCCAGGGACAGCCCTGGGGCAGCAGACGGAAAGAGGAGGGGGGGACAGAGGAGGAGGAAGGCAGCTGCTTGCCTGCCCTCCTCACAGACTGCCAAGCTGCCGGCCAGTGATGCCCCTATGGCCAGGAGCAGGAGCAAGACCACCCTCTGCACATGGCTCCTCTGCCCTGGGCTGCTTGGCTGTTTCTTGCTGGGCTTTCTTACAGGTAAGTACAGAGAACCAGGGGCTTTTGCCCCAGCTTTTGAAGCAGCTTTTGCCCCCTGCACATACTTAAGTGCAACCCCTGTTGTGATTAACTTATCATCAGGGAGATTATACTGCTTTTTTAGGTACATTATAAAGTACTCATCCCACTGCTTTTCTAAGAAGTTGCTCGCTCTAGCAGTTTTGGTCTTTAGGGAGCGAGGAATAGAATGGCTGCGTGCTTCAGCTCACGGGGAGCCCTGGTGAACTGACAGCTTACGAAATGGGCAGCCGGGCGTTGAAAGAGGAAAGATTAATAGAGTTCGAGACTTCAGTGATTGTCAGATCTCCATTTCTTTTTAATTGTATTTCCTGATTTTTTACTGAAGATCTATTTAAATGCTCTGATTCAGTTGCTATTTTAGAAACTAAGGGTAGAATGTAGAGGAGGAGGAGTTTAACTGGCAGCCAAGAATGGAGTTACTGAAGTTTTTCATTGTGCACAATGAACTTTACTAGAACATGAGATTTTTTTCTGAAGTCACTTTCAGCATTTGATTTTAAATATAAAATTGCATGTCCTTTTTAAACTTGTATTGTAGCACACACTTAAGGCTGAAGCATGAAAGAAAAATCCATGAGGGCTATTAAATATACAAAACATTAGTTTGATTTAGGAGATCCCTGAACTGCAAATTTCTGGTGCTTGTGCTACTCTTCTACATTTCCCTGAACATAATATTTTGACCATGCTCCAAAACAGGATACTGGGCAAGATGGACCTTTGGTTTAATCCAGTATCACTGTTATGTTCAGAGTGTTACTTCAGTTGCATTTAAGTCTAAGGGGTCACATATATTGTGCATGTGACATCACATGTATTTGTCTTTCTTATGAAAATTTTCCCATTTTTGGATTGTCTACCTATAATAATAAAAGGATTTTGTTTTGTTTTGTTGTTTTCTTCTTAAGACAAATTAATACAGTTTATATACCTTCTCCTACAACCATTTATGGCTACTGAATAAATATTTAACATTCTTAAACTGACTGGATCACAGTTAACTTTATTCCTTTAATTAATAAATAGTCTAACCCCAAGTCTGTAACTATTATAATGCTAGCAGTGTGTCTGTTGAGTCCTAGATCTTCACTTTAAATATGCATACACATGTATTTAAGATATATGAATAAATTAAATAAGAGAATTTCATCACGAGTATCAGGAGTTCAAACCTCACACTACAAACAGTTAATTGAGAATTTAAACTACGGTTAAAATTAATGAGAGATAAGTCTGTCTTAAAAAGGCAAGTAAAGGGGATTTACCAGCGATTTAGGCTGTAGTCTTTTGTTAATGTTTTAGGCAATTCAAAAAATGAAATATATTTTACTTTTCTGCTTTACTTCTCTGAGCTGGCAGACACTGACAGAGGGTACTCTAAGCCCTGTTCATCCATGCAGTTTTAACAGTTCAATACTTCGTGTTGCTCAAAGGCTCATACATGTGAGGACTGGCGTTCTTTCTAAGTAGAAAGCTTTTCAAATGTGTTTCAGGATGGTTGACAAAACTGTGTGGAAAAACCCTCAACTCTTCGGTTGTCTACCAAAATGTGAGACAGAAACTTGCGGCTGAAATGAAAGCAGAGAATATCAAGCACTTCCTTCGGTAAGCTGTGTGTATCTTGTTTTTTGAACAATTTTATCAGTCACAAAAAAGTGATAACATAAGCTCAAAGGAAGGGCCAATGAAAGCAGAGCTGTTAAAATGCTTTGGAAATATTTAGTTTATACAGAATGTCTGAGGGAAGGAGAAGGGAGAGGCTCACAACTCTGCTGTTCCTCTTCTCCTCATTTTTGAAGTTAAGTTTTTTGGAGTGCTTGTACTGTCAAGTCTACTTTCACCCAAGCTGTGTTACTGCCAGTGCTTACCAGTCTTTTTTATTATGATTTTTCGTCTTCTTGATTTAATGGAGTGTGTCTGTTTTTTCCTTGCAAGTGACTGAAGCTTTTACATCAGATAACTTTGCTTTCTCTCAGAGCAAGACGATTTTACTCTATTTGGGATATGTTGATTACTATGAGTTACATTTGATTGATCATCTGTTCAGTGTCTCCTAAAACTTTCACTTTGAGCAGCTAGTCTAAGTAGAAAATTAATATATTAAAAGTTAATGGTACAAATTTGCATGGCACTGAGTTGCATGTATACTTACAACTGATAATTCCTTTAGTGTGGCCATATTAGATAACATGCTCTTAGCTGGGTGCTTGGACATCCCATTATCCCCTATCTTATATCCATGGTCAGTGTGTGTGTGTATGGTTGGTTAAGTCTTGTATGATGTAATTGTTAGTAAATATACTTTTTTTGCATCATAGTGCATCCATGCAGTTCTTTCAAAGCATCTAAAATGCTAAGGATATAAAAGTATCCTTTTGTTTTGCTGTGCATTCCATTGAAAATTTTTAAAAAATCATTATTGTGTATATTTATATCTTCTACAGAGGAACAAATATATTCACATGAAAAGTAAATAACTCTGGTTAGTAAAATGTTGGTATTCAGCATGTAGGTCAGCAGCTGCATCATGAACATGAAAGGATTACTGACAAGTTTGATCCTAAACCCAAAAGGTTTAATTTCTAACATCAATTAGCTTTTTAAGTCTATAGGCCTTATCTTATTTTGTATTCATTGCTTTCAGTAGACTGGAGAGTTCCTGAAAATTATGTTTGAGTGAGAGTCTAGGCAACATAGAGATTGATGACAGCATGAAATAGCTCTGCAATTATGCTGAAGTCTCTTGGCCACAGGATATTAATGGTATCTCATGTGTCTGCTTGCTTTGATGATGGGCCAAGTGCTTCATACTGGTTGGGTTGGGGTTTTTTGCCTAAATTCAAATAAAAATAAGGAACTGCAGAAAAATTGTATTAATGCACTATCCAAAAATTTTGCCAAAAATATTAAAAAAAGTAAACTTGGGAACTTCGATCCATACTCTTAGTTTTTCAGACTACTAAATCTGCTTTTATAAAGTGGGGAAAATAAACTATGAATTTCATAAAATGTACACTTTAGTCTTAGCATTGTATCATAGCTCTGAAAAGGATTAAACTGTTTAGAAAAATTGAAACAAAAGCATCATTTGTTGTTCAGTATATTTTCCGTGACACCACATACAGTATTTAGACTACTTATGGGATTAAATGGTGCTTAAAATACTTGAGAGAATTAAAGTGCAAGAAGAAAACAGGCAACAAGTTTTGTCAAAGGTTGCTTCCAAACTTTGGTGCATACACATCCAGTTTAAAGAGAGGGAAAGACAACAGCAGAGAGCTGTGGTCTACTTAGAGAATCTAGATGTATTCAAATCTAGGGGCCAGGTGGGATTCATGTGAAAGACGTTGATGTTACATTGCTGTAGGTGAGAAGTTCTGATGATTGAAAGAGGTCCCAGGTGGCTGAAAATGGCTGATGTTGTGCCCATCTTTAAGTGAGGACAACATGGAGAGACTGTGGGCTGGTTAGCTTCAATCCCTGGAAGGGTGACTGAACATCCTTCTGGAATTTCCAGACACATGGGGGACAGAAAGATGGTTAGGAACAGTCAGCATTTATTTACCTTTCGTATCTATCATCAGCATGATTGCCTTCTGTAAGGAAGGTTTTGAACATCATCTCCCACAGCATTCTTCTTTGGAAGCTGAGGAAGTACACGCCGAAGAACATGCTCCTACATGGGTTGAAAACAGTCTGAAATGACAAGTTGAAGTGATACTAATCATGGTATTTGCTACCATGAGTTAATGGTAATTGATGGTATCTGACATCTGTGGGGCAGCCATTGACAAGTAGTGTGTTGGGAATTGGAAGCTCATGCTGAGTACCTGGCTGACTGATGAGCTTTCATCACAACTTTCTTGTACAGTGGACCAAACAAATTACAGACAGATTTCTGTAGGGTAGCCCAGAGGGGCTGGATACTATTTCAGACTATTTATCACATTTATGAATTGTATCTGATATGAAAGTAAGTGTTATTAAGAAGGATTTTATTATTCAGGCTTTTGACTAAAAAAAAAAGCAAATCTGTGCAGATAATTTGATATAATGATTTTCAAGTTAAACTTATTAGGACATCAGGACACATTATGCCAATAGTGTACAAATAGATCATCAGATACCACAATTATCTGGAAGGCTCCTTTCTGAATGTATAGTTTTGCTATATTTATTTCTGCTCCTCGTATACTGCTCATATTCTTTTGCTGAATGTCTTCGATACTGATTTTCGTTGCTTGTGTGTACATGTGGCTAATTCTGTTATGCAAAGAGAAGATCAACTGACTTAACTTAAGGCCTCAGGAGAGATCCTCTGCTCTGACTACATTTTTTACTTGTCCTGATGCAAACTCTGAAGAACAATCATGTTTTTAGCTCTAACTTTAAGACCTTACAGTCCAATGTGGCTTGAGGATTAGCTTTATATGCACTGATCCTAGTTCACTATTGTGTCTCTCTGAATTTCCTGCTTACTAGCAGTTTTCTGTTTTGTTCTAGCTCATTTACTAGGTTGCCTCATCTCGCAGGAACTGAACAGAATCTTATTCTTGCCAAACAAATTCAAGGCCAGTGGAAGGAATTTGGATTGGATTCAGCTGAACTTGTTCATTATGACGTGCTTCTTTCATACCCAAATGAAAAGCAGCCAAACTACATCTCAGTAATTGATGATCAAGGGAATGAGGTGATCTTTTTAATGACAAAACTGTATTTATGTAAGACTCCTTTAAAAAACAGTTCTTTCTCTCTTTGCCCACCCATTCAGCTCAGCTTGTGCTTTATATCACAATAAAAAGTCCAGTGCAAAGGCTACTCATATTTAGAAATGGTTTTCCAGGCTGTGCAGTAACACGGCAGAGTGGCTGTAATCTCAGTGCCTCGTACAGAGGAGAGAGGACCTGTGGAAGGGCTGCAATTAACACCAGTGGATCATAAGGTGTTAGAAGGGTTCAGTTTGAGGATACATCTAGGCCAATATCCTGTTTCCATAAACAGGCTTAAGTGGATGCACGAAGCTGCTTAAAACAAAGAAATGTATTTCAGGCATGCAATTCTTCCAGTGTCTAGATGTTTTCAGCTCAGGCATTCTCTGAATGTGCTGTAATTAGTCTCCTAAAGAATCCTCATTAGGCCTCTTTTCCAAGTATTTATCCAGTCAGTGACCCTTGTTAGATCTCTTTTCCAAGTACCTGTCCAAACCCTGCACATTTTTTGCTTCCACAACATGCTGAGGTAAGGAATTAGAGATACTATTTATTGTATGAAGTCCTACCTAGTTTTCCTTGCTCTGAACCTGATCCCACTGTCTCCCTATGGTGTCTTCTAAGTTAGAGTTAGAAGAAGTACTAATGAACTAGTCAGTCTGTAGACATCTCCCTTTTGAACACCCATAGAAATAAAGAAGCAGATGTAAAATCTGACAAGGAGCCTGAGTAAGGAGAGGAGATAGGACTGCTAGAGAAGCATCATAGCACAAAGGTGGGGATGAAGAGACATGGTGGAAACTAATGAATACTTGCTCAGGATGACATGAGCTTAGAGGTGAAAGAATGAAGAAATTTTTCAAGAAACTGTAACAGTATCTCATTTATAATCTCATAAGATGACAAGAAGTGGACATGAACCTTAACACGAGTGTTACAATAGATAGAGATAAAAAGCAGCACATTTAACTGGAGTATAACTAGCAAAGAGCTGAAGAGAATAATAATAATAAAGGTGGGAGTAATCACAAAAAATACCTGGGATGGCATGGATGAACTGGGTGCCTTTTTACTGTCACAACCTCTTGGCAGTTTCCAGCTACTTCTTTGCTTAGGTTCAGGTAGTGACTGATGGGCATCTTCTGACAAGTGATCTGTCTCTTTGCTATTCATATCTGCATTCTGTTATAAAAGTTCAGCTCTGGATCTCTAGCTGTGTTTTTGTTTGAACGTATGCATGCTAGTTAGAATTGTATTTTTTGCTAGTGATTTATGGAAACCAGCGTATAGTTTACACACTTAGCATTTGCTTAGTGGGCAAATTTTTGCCTGGAGTATTTGACCAAAGACTTCTGTTATTTATTGGTAGGTTTTCAATACGTCATTGTTTGAACCACCTGCTCAGGGGTATGAAAATGTTACTGGTATACTACCACCATATAATGCTTTTTCAGCACAAGGAGTGCCAGAGGTAAGAAAAAAATTATGTAAGAGTGCTATTAGCTGAATTCATATTTTGTGAATATCCTTATCCCTGCCTTACTGGGACAAATTGCTCCAATTTCTCAAAATATTTGTTGTAGTAGTTTTAATTAATCATTTGTGTTAATTAGGGAGCACTTAAGCACGGCTAGGCCACATATTGTGCAAAGGTTAGAAGTCTTTTATAACCAAAAAACCAAAGCTTTCTCAAATTGCTAGAACTTTGAATCAAATAATAGTTTTTATCTTGATGAAAAATTTTGGATATATCTCAGATTGCTCCACATTATTCAATCATATGGAGAGAACCTGCTTAAGGCACAAGTAGAATTGGCAATATATAAATCAAGTTGGAAGACACTTTGGATTAAATGAATGCCTTTAAAGGCCACAAAAGCCCCTCACTTAATCTGCTAATCCATTATGGAACAGTCAGGGACAACATTGCATTGCATAAATGAATGAAATTATGTAATTCTGTGTGTTTATGTATGCAAGGTATTACCAGTATTTGTCATGGCCAGAGAAATTTGTCAATTTAACAAAGTATATTGGTTTATTTTCCAGCCTCAGATTTTAAGACTGTTGTTAAGGGCAGGATAATATACAAAAGTCAGCCATTTAAGCCAAAGTTTCCTATAGAATATTATAGATATCTTTTGCTATTGTTTTTATGGGCACTGGATCTAATTTGCAGAAATGCAAAAAAACCCCCAACACTATATCATACATAGTGAACGAAACAGTGTATTTCTGGGAGTGGGTAGTTTGTCTGTTGATTGACCAGTTGCCATGACACTGCTTTTCTTTTCTGTGCAGGCAGATCTGGTCTATGTGAATTATGGCCGTACGGAAGATTTTTTTAAACTGGAGCGTGAAATGGGAATTAACTGTACAGGAAAGATTGTCATTGCCAGATACGGGAAGATCTTCAGAGGAAACAAAGTAAGTGTTGTGTTTTAATTTTTCCTCTGTGGGTCAGACACTGTTCATGACAGAGCTGGAGGGAGTTAGTGAGGGCTCTTAGTTGGAATATATGAGCAGAAGGAAGCCTGCAATGCACCCATTGTGACTGCAGTCTAACTTCCAAAACAATAAAGCCATGTGAATGTATTAAACTCCTGAGACTGAGATGACTGCAAACTGCCTAGGCAGTTTTTGCAAAAGATTAGTTTAAGGAACTGAGTAGTTTGTAGAGCCAAGATTTTTGATACTTTTCATCCGTAGAATTGTAGTATTTTGAAATAGCAATTATTTGACAAGGAGTCTGATGCACAGAGACTGATTAATTATATCTTCTGACTTTAGATAACAAGTCTGACAAAACGGGTGACAGTGGGGCAGTAAGGATAGTGGTCAGTTTTTGTGCCTCAGTTTTACATCCTGTACTTTATTTCATAGCCTTGAGCTATGACTAAATGAATAACACAAATAATGAACAGTGTGTTTCACTGTGGTTTGTCCTTCTGCTGAATCTAGGGTCATTTTCACTCTACTACACACACAACTTCTAAAACTATGTCTGCATGGAAGCAAATTGCAACATTCAGATTTATCACTGCATTGACCAAAAAGAAAAAAAAAATAAAGGAGACACTTCTTAAAAGTAAATAATTTCACAGGTTAAAAATGCCATATTAGCAGGAGCCCAAGGGATCATACTTTATTCAGACCCTGCTGACTACTGTGCCCCAGGAATAGATGCTTATCCAGGTGGCTGGAACCTTCCAGGTGGGGGAGTCCAGCGTGGGAATGTATTAAATCTGAATGGAGCTGGGGACCCTCTAACACCAGGTTATCCTGCCAAAGGTGAGTGAAATTTCTGTAACCTGGGCCATCAAGTACTTTATAAACTGGTGTCGAAAGTCTGACACTAGAAATTCATTTATTTTTAGTAGAAATGAAGAGAAAAAAACTGCTAGAAATTATTTTTAGCAGTAGTTAATTTTCCTATTGCAGACTAAATTCTGCCTGTGTGCCATTCTAATTGGTTGCTTTTGACCTAGGTGGGGAAGGAAAGTTTTTAGGAAAAAACTTCAGGAAAATCTCTTTGTTTATCCCAGGCTTATAATTATCTTAGAAAGGCAGGATGCGCAGGTTTACAGACTATGAAGCAGCAGGAAACGACTGAGAATTTCTAGTAATTTTTAAATATCTGTGTTTCTCAGGATGACCAGTTTAAACTAGATTATACTCTACCATCAAAGAGGACTAATAGCTTTGCTTGGAGGTATGTTTTCTTGCTGATCATAAATTCCAAGTAGGAAAGCAGTTTAAAATCCTCCTTACAGGGAGTAAAATTCTAATAGTAAAAGTAACAGTCGCCTGGAGTCTTTCAAATATTGGCACCATATGCTTGTCTTGTCCTTGTTGGCATTCCAAAACTTCTTCTGAACTCAGATGCCTACCAGTGCGGTCTGCAGATGGGATGGGTATACAGGGGGCCTTCTGGAAAGCTTGTGTGAACACTGTTGGATGCATAAGACAACCTGCTGAAAAAACAGGATAGACTGTGTGTGCCTCTCCCACCAGACTCAGAGAGACATTGCCTGTCTTCACCATAGGCAAGTGTATCTGGGGATGTCTTCTGCAGCTTGCCAAACAGTTGCACAAGTGCCATCTTCACCTCACACACCAGCTTGGTTTTCCCTTAGCCAGCTTTGAGGAGATGTAATAATATGGATGGACAACAAATCTAAATGTGGAGATTTTTTTGCACAATTGTGCAGATGCATCACTGGGTTTGTGGTTCTGTCCTTGCAGTTTGGTTTCCTAGAAGTAATGTCTGAGAAATTATGTAAGAATTGAAAAGAATGATGAATGCTCGTGGCTGCTGTGTGGCTGCACTGTTCAAAAGTGTTTACAGTTTGGTTAAAGTTGCTAAGAACACTATAAACTTGACATTTTGTTCTGGTTTCTCAGAGTACACTTTCAGGTATAAAGTTAATGAAGGTGTAGGGATTCCTAGAATCCCGGTTCACCCCATTGGATATCATGATGCAGAACTATTATTGAGGTGAGTGTACATCAGTTCTCCTCACTCTGGTAAAATCTCTGCTGTAATTTGCATTCATACTACTTTTTTTAGTAAATGTGTTTTTCAGGAAATGTGGAAAATTCAAAGCAACCTGTTTCTGCAATAATGCTTTTCAGAATTTTGTAAACCCACCTTGGGTTTACTGCAATAATTATTAAGGGAATTTAAGATTTTACCCTACTGTTCAACTGCATTTGTCTTGGTTTTCACTTTACAGTGCAATGGGAGGACCTGCAGCTCCAGACAGCAGCTGGAAGGGAAGTCTCAATGTGTCTTATAACATAGGGCCAGGATTCACAGGAAACTCTTCTACAAGGTCTATTTGAACACTTACCTGTTTATACAATATTGAAAAAAAATCCCTACAAGAGGAAAAACTGTGAAACAATACATCTAGAGATATTCTGGAGAAATTTACTTCCTTCAGAGTGGGCTGCACATGATGATTATTTTTAGAATTTGAAAAAAATCAGATAGTAAATGATGATAAGTTAGCAGACCAAGACACATGACAGTGGCATTTGGCAATAACTTGTAATAAAGCAAAAGATCACTTTTCTATACTTTTCCACACCAAAAATAATTTCAGTTTACATGAGGTATCATTCTATTAGGATTGGTAGTGGATCACACTGAACAGTCATTATCACTACCAAATCTCCTGAAAAACAAGAGTATGCCTGAATATATAATTTTGTAGACTCCATTTACCATTATTCTTTCCTGCTCTGCTTTAATACTAGTTGAAAATGAATAAAATAGGAATAAATAAATAAGAAAGCATATTTGACATAATTATGTGCTGTTTGGAATATCTTGAAGAGCAACAATGAGAAAACAGTGTGATTCATCCACAAAACTCATACACGCAAAGTATTTTTGAATGCACTTCTTAACATCGTCCTACTTGTAAAGGCCACATTTTTTGTAAATATGGTCTAATCCTACATAGTCCTTTCTCAGAGTAGCTCCATATCAAAATGAACCTTTTGAGTCTGGGAAAAGTCACTTGCACATGGAAAGTGTGCAAGTATATGCATGTTCAAAGCACTAGTGTCAGTTATTTCCTGGGCAAAGATCCAGTGGCTGTCCTGAAGTACGTTTTGATTTTGACAGCTATGCAGATTTGCTGCTGAAAAGATAACTTCAAACGTGAAACTCTGGAGGTTTTGCCAGACCCAAAAAAAGCATTGTTTGATGATTTGTTTCTTCTATGGATTAAGAGGGCTGAATACTATATTATTTTTATCTCTCCTAAAACATAGATTTCCTTTGCTTTTATAAAATTTCACAAGTGGAATTTACTGGGGAGGAGGGGGCAGAGATGAAGAGTTTTTACTGGGGGGGCAGGGAAAAAGTAAACTGTACTTCTAGTAGGTTCCCTGTCTCTAGTTGGAAGGTTCTCTGTCCACAGCTAGGAGGCTGGAACTAGATGATCTTTAAGGTCCCTGCAAACCCAAACGATTCTATAGTTCTACAACTGACTAATTTTGATCACTTAGATCTGCTGTCCTAAACAGAGTTTCAATTTATTCCTGGATGAATATTCCTGATGACCTTTTCCCCACATTCTATCTTATTAATGGAATTGTGCTAGAAAACCAAAGTGTATTTTTTATAAAAATATGTATATCCACAACCATAATTTTGATCAAAATATAAAATAAATGTATTTTTAATTACTGTGCATGTTTTTAAGTTTACTCCTCTAGTACCAAATTGTCTAATTGATTCCCACAAATAAAAATTCAATAAATTCTGTAAATATTTGCAAATTTATAGATTGACCCACTTCATAGGGTTGTTTCTGCTGTCAGCACAGCAGGTTAAGCTGAAATAAAAAATGACACACTGAGACAAATGAACACACATCAGACTAGTGCTGAATACACAAAGCAGAACAGAAGGACAAACTCTTTGGCTTATATGTTATTAGCATTGAATTTTTATTGGCTTCTCAGTCAGAAATGGTTACTCCATACTGCCTTTCATTTCAGAAAAGTCAGAATGCATGTTCATACAAGCAATAAAATAACACGAATTTACAATGTCATTGGCATCCTCAGAGGAGCCATGGAACCAGGTGAGCATTGGGTGCTTCATGATTTTAATTCTTTCTTTATTTTGTGTTTGATGAAATTGTTCTCATGTTGTAAGAAACTTTTTGTTGTAAGAAAGTTTTTTAGATAGCTAGATAATATGGAATCTAAGTAATCCTTCATAGTTGCTCTCTCCCTCCCATTACAGTGTTTATCATTGGCATTTCCAGGAATATATTTGAATGGAAGTACCAGAAAGATAGATGTCAGAGAATTTTTTTATAATGCCTGTCATTTTACAGTAGGCTTCTCCTTACATCATTCATACATTTTGCCTTTGCAAAAATAAACACAATGCAAAGTACAGAAAACTAGTGATGATTTGGGACCTTAAGATTCTACTATTGATATTTAGTAGAAGGTCATATACATGAAAGACCTTTAGGTGGAAAAATATCTATTAAATATTTCTTGTCTTCAGTTGTATATTTCAGTAGGGTAAGTGACTGCAGATTACCTAAAAAATAAAATTGTTACACTGGTATTGAACTTCATATTTTGTTTGATACAAGTAGGGATGCAATCAAAGGAAACACCAAAGATAACCAAAGTGCATTTTTAATTATGAATTGATATTGTATGCTTGTTTCCAGACAGATATATTATTTTAGGTGGTCACAGAGACTCTTGGGTATTTGGTGGTATTGATCCAACTACGGGTGCAGCTGTTCTGCAAGAAATTGTACGGAGTTTTGGTAAAATGAAGATGGAAGGTAACAATTATTACAGACATAAAATGATGGATATAGAAAACAGAAGCTTTGAGGAACACTGTTCCTGTAAATTGTTGTAGTTATTTAACTTTTCACTTCTACAGAAAGTTTTATTTCTAATTGTGAAATATGGAAATTTGTTGAAGAGGTGCATATATAGCATTTCATCTTAGTTGGCTGAATTTATTTCCTCATCAGTGTAATAGTCCCCTCTTAGTTGTGTAGAATAAAAATATTGCATTAAGAAGAAATGCCTCTGCAATAATATGTTCCTCTAAGGAACTAAGAGAGGATTTTTTTTACTGTTATATCAGTTAAGTGTTATTTTTAAAAGGAATTTCAATTAACTGTGGTGATCTTTTACTAGACTTTCAAAATTTAACTTGAATTTTCAAGTTTAACTATGTGATTGCAGGTTGGAGACCTAAGCGAACTATTATTTTTGCAAGCTGGGATGCAGAAGAATTTGGATTATTGGGTTCCACAGAGTGGGCTGAGGTAAATAAAAAAATAGTGTAAAGTAAAGTAAAACTTGAAAGGGTATTGCAGGCAGCTGCAGTACCCAGCATCTATTCCTAGACTGCAGTCAAGTGCTTCATGGTAAAATTGGAGCACAGCAGGCTTCTTTGGGTGCTGTAAGGCACTCATGTATTTATATCAATTACTTACTTACCTTCTTACAATGTATGTGTACTAACTCTTCTAAGACTTAAAAATCTACTTTGATTCAAAGTTAATGTCCCTCAGTGGTCTCTATGTGGAAATCTATCCCTTCATTTAACAGAATTACAGCATTTTATATAACCCAAATTGGTCTAACTCTCTATTTGAGAAATTCCTTAGTTTTTATAAAATTAAGTCCAGATCATTAACTTGTGATCCATAAGCACCCCAAGCCCTTTGTATGGAAATCAGTCCTCCTGGGCAAATGAAAGGATAAGTAATCTATGAGTGAATATTTCCAAATTCCTGTTAATTCCAGCATTGTAGAGTCTCAGGGGCAGAACAGTTTATTAATTCTGGCTATATTCCTGCCTCATAGAAGGATGTTGGGAAATTCAGAAGTGAGGTTCTGACTATTTTTCTCTTCTTTTTCCTGTTAGGCATGTTAAATTCTTAACCTTGTAAGTGGATTTGTTAAAACCCAATACGAAATACAGGTCTTACAAGAGTTGTCATTGCTTTGTCTGTAAAATCCAAGTTGGAAATAGAGCAGGCAGAAAATTGCTTAATAAAACATATTTCTGCTGAACTACTTCCATTTATTAGTACTGAACAGTTTAAGAGAAATGTGTTTTTTTCTTCTATTAGAAATTTATTTACAAGGTAATAATTGTATATGTGGATAGAGCTTTTAAAATCTATAAAATAAAACATTTTAATCTTTTTAGTTTAGTTTATTGTCATGTATTTCAGTAAACCACAAAATTATACAGCAAAATAGCACGCATCAGAGGAGGGAACAAACACAGAAATATGCTCTCAAACAGCAAAGGGATTCCATCATACTGTGAGCAAAGCTAAGTTTTCTATTCCTATGAATTTGAACTAATTCTTTCTCCCATAAACTGTTTGATTTCCAGCTGTAACAGTCTCTGCATCTTACTGTTGGTTTATGGGACATTAGATGAAGAAAGAATAATTTCAGCTATTTTAAATCATTTACTGAGAGATTTTAAAGAGTTGGCATTGAAGTATTATCCCACCTGCATATGAAACTGTATTTATTATTTCTTTGTCTACATATCTATGTGCATATTTAGATGTTGTCAAGAAAAAAACCCACACAATTGTTTTAACTCTGAGAAATATGAAAAAATGGTACTTAAAAGATCAATTTCTCTTGAGTAAGTAATGAATAAATTAGGAGTTATGTTAAATTTGTTAAATATTGCTACTACTGTTCCGTAATTTTTTTGCTTAATAATTTGGTCTCTAGTAATGTATCAATCATTATTTCATGAAACAACAGCTGTACAAGGTTAGAAAACCATAAGCACAGTTCATATTTGAACCTCAGTGTTTTGATATTATTGTTTCCTTGCTTTATCTTGGTGATGTGCATTACTAGTTTTTTACAACTAAATTAGATTCAGTTTCTCTAGAGACATTCCTCACAGCTTACATTCTAATTTTCTGCAGCTGCCAGATCTGTAATGTATTAAATCTTGAGGAAAATTAACCCATGGTATTCACTGCCTTCTGTGTAAGAGAAAAATTGCAACTGTGGCAACATCCTTTTGTTATACAGACAATCTCCACTGCTCATAAATGAAGGAATTTCTTTATGCTACTAATATGACTTTGCAAGACCTCATGTATGCATGTACAGGCTCACTCCCTCCCTTCGTATTCTTTTGTGGGATCTCCTCTATGTTTTTTTAAAGATATTAATGTCATTTTCTATTTATCAATTACCAATTCAATTTTTAGTTCACGTGACTTACAAATGATTATTTGGGTTACAAATTGAATGAATCGAGTAACAATTACTAACCTAATTAAAATATCTGTCACAAAGCCAAGACTTAATAAAATACTGCTTACTGATTAGAATATCAATTCAAACATAATTACCAGTTTGGAAAAAATTAAACAAGATGTGTGTATATATTTAGCATGAAAGCAATTCTTTGTGGACTCAAAATAGTCAACTTCATTTTAATAGGGTATTTTAGTGCTTTGACTCATCCCTTTTTGAAATGGAATAGTGTAGAAATGACAGCAGTGCTCAGTTCATCAGTGTTAAAATTGCATTTAGTGCTGGGAGCACACATGAATAACTAGGAATTAAGAGCATGGAAGAATTCTGGCTGATCTCGCAGTGACATGTTGCATGTTCAAAAAGTCCCGAAGTGCAGAGTCAAAAAGCATGTACAGCCTTATTTTATCGTGTTACAATTCTGTTCAATAATTTTCTTGTTCCATCTCGCTCCTGTGTGATGCAGTAGGCAGAACCTTCATTTTGTGGATATTTTCCACAACAAATTAAGTCACAGAAAGCACAAATGAATTTCATATGCCAAGATCATTTACCCATCTTCAAACAATATAATTAGTAAGGTACATAGTAGTATTTATCCTGACTGAGTTCTAAGGGCAATGCTTTAAGAAATAGTGCACTTAACATGCTCTTCACTAAATGTCACTAATCGAAAGTAACAATTACACATTTACAACCCCAGGAAAATGCCAAAGTCCTTCAGGAACGGGCAGTTGCTTACATCAACGCAGATTCTTCTATAGAAGGTGAGTCTTTTATTTTTAAATTTACCTTACTTCCAAAGCATAATTTTTATTAGTTTTCTCTGTATTATTTATTGCATTCAGAGCTGGAAAACATAAGATAGGTGTAGCGATGTTCAGAATAAGTGTAGTAAATACAGAATTTAGTGGAGAGAAGAGAGAACAATTTAAATTCTCGTGTTGCTTTCTTTTGCAAATAGTACCATCCTTGAGCTGCAGCCCATGTGTCTGGAGTCCAGAATGTCTCCTCTGGCAGAGTGTTGTGTTCTGTGCTAACTGAGTGTTCTGTATATTAAACTCTCTCTTTACTGCATTAGCTTTAATTTACAATCATGGTTTTGATATATGACAGTCTGCTCCTTGTTCTGGTCACAGCTCCAACTCCTTTCCCTGTGGAATCATAATATTTTCAGACACTAATTTATTATGTTTATAAGACAATTTGTATCGAGACCTTAGGTTTACACTTGATGGAGGTGGGAGATGATTTAGTGCTTCAGGCCAGTGTGGTTATCTTTGTTCATTGCTGTGATCAGGGAGTTATATATATATTACAGCAGAGCTCTTCTTCAAAAATAGGCACTGAAGAGTGTTTCACAAAAAACCTTATCCACCATTATCCCATTTACTATGATCTTCAGACTGCAAGAATCTGTCATTCAGGAATGCTACTTACAAACTGGCCTTTTTGGGGAGCTCTACACTACAACCTAAATGACAAAATCCTTCTTAAAATATACTGGGCTTTATTACCGAAGGACCTCTCTTACTGTTGTCTGTGCTGAAAGAATAGTTAGAAGAGTCCTGTGAAGCTGCTCTGCATCATAACATCAAGTTATTCAAGGCATTAATGTTCTCATGTCAAACCCAACTTATTTGGGCTTCCTGTGTGTGACTAAAATGGTTATCAACAGGCACATTTAAGAACTCTTTTTATTTCTGTCAGCTGAAAATTTTGTCCATCACAAAAGGATTGGAAAGAAAGAAAAGCCAAGCCCAGTTTCTAAAGGCTCAGTTGGAGCTGAGGAATAAGGAGATTTAGAGCTGTTCCTTCATTTATGCAGCCTACAGGCTGTGTAAAAAGCTGAGCAGAATTTCACGCCTAGAAGATCTCACAAATGAAATAATAGCTTTGCAACTGCTTCAGATTCTCAGTATGGATTGTAACACATATTTTTTTAGTTGGTTTGCAGCCAACATACTGCTGCCTTAACAATTTTCTTCTAAATCTTGATTATTCAAACATGTCTCTTGCTTTATGCATTAAAGAAAATATGAAAGTAAAACAACTGGAAAATAAATATGTAATAAGGAAAAGAACACCATGTTAAGTACACTGGTTTAAGTATCTTGGATATCTTTCACCTGACTGAGCAGTAAAATCTACTGTAAAGTCATAGCATTCATGTACTCTGATGATTATTTTGTTTATCATCAAATGTTTTCCACAGCACTTATACCACATTTTGGACAGCAAATTATTTCTCTTTATTGTCTTATAGCAATGAAAATAAGGAGAGGGGTTTATCATTTTGAACAGTTTCATGACTTGAATTTACAGCTCTCAAATACAGACTCCTTTTGGAAACATCATTAACATTATCTTGTATTTTTTCTATCATCATGGACTTTTTTGTAATTATCAGTCTGGTCCTAGAATATGATATGTAAGAACACACTGTGCAAAGTGTGACCCAAGATCTAAAGCCATATCAAAACCTAATAACTGACAACTAATTACTAACAATAACAATAACTTAATAACTGTTGTCTGAGAGCTTGTGGGTTTTTTTTATGTTGCAGCCTTTTCATCCCTGTTCCCTTCTTTGTTGTCTGTATTTGAGGGCAGAGGTGTTTGTTCACTACTCTTGGGTGGCTGCAGTCTATAGAGAAGACTGCTTTAGACTTCTGCCTATCCCAAAAATGGCCATAGTTTTTGATGGGACTGTTGCTGCTGTAGCTGAGAACTTTGCTATGCGATACTTACCAAGCTCAGTAAAATCTGCCAGCAGCATGGAAACCTTATGGGGGTAAAGGGTAGATGTCACCATATGATGGTAAAAGGGGAGGTTTAGGAGACAGAAGAAAACATTGCTCTGCATCTTTTTTGCCTACTGTTTGGGCTAGACTTAGTTCTGAAATATAAAATGCCAGATGTCTTGCAACTCTCTTACTCAGAAGATGATCTGTCTTGTAGATAGAATCTGCAAAAGCATTGAAAAAGTACTGTCTGTGGTAAGAAAAGTAGCTGAATTGAAAGATTTCTCAAAACATCTTGTAGCTAATGTCTTTCCTCTTGCACACCTCCTGAAAGCACTGGCTTTATTTCTAACATCTTATTTTTTGCCGTTTAACACAAGCTTCAGGAAGCATATGAGTGACAAGGGCTTGTAGCTAATGAGGGAGAGTTAGGCGTATTTTAGAACTATGGGAAGGCTTAATTATGTTCCTGTGTATGTACTATAACCAATCCATCATTGTTATGCAGTGGCAGGAGCTCATATGGTGTGACCAAGTAATCTATTTCTGTATATATTCTGAGGCAAGATCTAAATTCTTGCCTTGGAATCCAGAAGTTTATCTAAGAAAGGACTGCAGGGTTTAATCAATTAAGAAGATAATGCCACTGGAACCTGAAGGGAAAACTTCCATATCTTTGTTTTATTTTCAGGGAACTACACATTAAGAGTTGACTGCACCCCTCTTCTCTACAAACTGGTGTATAATCTGACAAAAGAGGTACAGAATCAGTGTCTACTATTTCTGACTTTCTAAGAATGTAAAACTGTAAGTTTATTGGATAAAATAGAATTATTGAATAATATTGGATTTATTTTATTGCTGTGCCGGAAGAATCTTGATCCCACCAAAATCAATAGCAAAACATCCCATCAGCAGTACACAGTCCATGCTCACAGTTCCTCAGTATTCTTAAAGGTTGAAATGTGTCACTGACATAAGTGGAATCTTAATTTCAATATATAGTAAAAACAATCATAATAAAAACAAGATGATAAAACATTGGGCAATATCAGTTCTCTAAAGTGATAAGCATTGAAGGAAATAATTTTCATATTGGCTAGCTACCATTTTCTCTCCGTGTCTGTTCCCCCAAATCTCCTTCATATCTCACTGAGCCTTTGAAATATGTAATAAAAATTGAAGGATTGAGAAGGTTTTGTAACAGGCCAGACAAGTATATTTGCATGATTACAAGTGGTCTAACCATGTCTTCTTTACTTTCAGCTCTCAGAATAATTTCTCATCAGGCTGAAAGGTTGTGATCCTTTAAAGGATGGAACTTCCTTGTCCGTATGAGGAGTTAACCAGATTAGGCACCTAGTATGAGTCATTGCCACTGTCCTCAGATCTGCATTCATCTCAGTTAACAGAACACATCTCTGACTGACTTAAGCAGCGTAGGCTCCCTTTAAAGGCACAGGGTAGAAATAAGTGCCTTTAGGATGAGATTCATTTGACCAAATGTGGTTTTCCACCTTTGGATGTACAGAACTCAAACTATTTTTTCCCCTGATATGAAGGGAACTCAGGTGGCTTGGTCCAGTATAAAAATCTGCACTGTGATTGCACTTGGTAGGATGATTCCAGCTACCAGTCTCCCATCCCACTAGATGCATTCATCCTGAGTTATTTTCAAAAGCATTAGTCTTTTAAAACCTGAAATGGCATGGTTTGGATCAGGGGAGGTTTATCTATGCCATTCTATGATTTTCTTTTCTTTTCTACATTTTATTTTCTTATAAATTCTTTCTATCTTAACCTTTTCTTTCATCCTTGCAGGAGAAGAAGCTATGTTTATTCAGATGTTAGCTCTGACACTTTGCACACTGAAGGGCATTCTCTTTTGTATATAAAAATTGTCATGTCCTTAGTGCTGCAGGCCCTGGATAAAATAATTTACTTTCTGTCTGCAGCAAGCCACTTACCCAGGAAGACATTTTCCTGCAAAAGATAAACGAAATTAAAAAAGGTGCTCTGGACTAAAAATAGTACCTCATTCTTGACCTTAAGTCAGCTATTCAACTATTGCTGGTTTGAGTAGAAAATTTCCATTAAAGTACCATGCAAAGTACTTAAGACTGACTTAAAAAAAAATTCCTATTCCATGTTATGTTAACTTTTAAGTGTAGAAGCATGATGTAAACAATACAAAACCTGACAACCTGACATCTGATTATGCATGTCCAAAGGAAGGTTATTTCTGCTCATATTAAACAGTCCAAAATCCAAAGATCTCTTTGATCTTCTTATTTTTTAGTGAGCCAATTCTCACCAAAAAGAAATGTAGTGCACACATGAAGTGTTCTCTTTCAAGGAGTTCTGCATTTAACTGTGGTCCTCTGCATACAGATAGTATATTTAGCTGTTGACTGTCTTTTTTGGCCTTGCTCCACTGCTAGGGTTTAGACATTTGGTCATCACCAGACAGTGTCTGCAATAGCTCAATTTCAATTCCCCTGTTCTGATCATCACTGCTTCAGTTATACTTAAAGAACTCTGCATCTTCCTTGAGATAGCAGGAAGCTTATGCTGATTCTAGATTTGGATCTAAGTCAGGGCAAATAGTATGTTTTACTATGCTCTCAGTGTTGTATGAAGAAGCTGGGCAAAGGTTTTTACATGTGTCAGAATAATATCTTTGACAGAGCATGGAGTGCTTTTGCTCCCATATGTCAGAGTTCAGCTTGCACTTATTAATGTGCTGTTTTCATTTTAGCCCTAGGACTTAACCAAAGTGCCCTGAAAATGATGGCAGCCAAGCAGTTATTTCACAAAGTTGCTATTTTTCTGCTAGCTGCTGACAACATCTCAGAGGTCAGAACTGTTTGGATTTTCAAGTTAGAGTCTGTATGTTTTTCAATGCAGAATTTAAGTCTCAATAATATGGTGGGACCATGTATCTAGCCATGAACATTTATGCTTTGGATTTCGGAAAAAAAATCCCAATCCTCTATACATCATAAGCAACCTTATGTTTAAAGGACCATGTCTATTAAAGGTTGTTTAAGTGTAGATGGAGACTTAGGCTGGAGTCTTGATTTATTTTTACCTCTGCCACAGATTTTCTAAGAGCTTTGGTCAACTAATTTTACACACTTTCATAGTTTTCCTGGCAGCATGATGACTGCACTAATATTTACTTTTTCCATCCTGGTTACAGAGCTTTTTGGTTTTTTGAAGGTAAGGGTGAGACCTGCATTTGTACATACAATGTTTTACACAATGATTCTCCAGTCTTGGTTGAGTCCCCTTGGCACTGCTGTAATATGACTGGTTTGGACCCTTCCTTCTAGCACAATTCTTTTGTAACTTTCCTATAGAAAAAGCAATCAAATTTTAGGTTTAGCCTTGTTGAGAGAATATTGCTGCTGTGCAGGGCAAACCTCCACGGGGTTATGGCTGTCATCTCCCTTTGCCTGCAGAAAGGAGAGCAGCTGGGGCATCCTGGCTGCTGGAAGAGTCTCATAGTATTATATACGCTGTTGTGTGTGTACATACACAGTGCTGTAAGGTGGTAAGAAGTCCTAGAACCCACTTCTTCCAATAGCAGATGAGCTCTAGCTAGTATCCTTTAACCTGCTTTTCCCTACGGTCTGTGGTTTGTTCCAAGTGCCTGTGAGATGCCTTTTGTGGTTGGGATCCATAAATATGTGTCATAAATGTAAACAGTGTACGTGTACTTCCCTGCATGCAGTAATACTGTTGGTAAAGAATGATGCAGGTGGCTGTAAAGGCCTCCTTTGACAATGAATTGAGTTACAGGTACTTCCAATGAGACTACAATATTTTCCTCTCCAGATTTTAAGCCCTGATGAGGGTTATGCAAATAAGTCTCTTTATGAGAGCTGGCTTGAGAAAGACCCTGGAACTGAAAATAATAGCTTTCCAAGGTAAGATTTTAATTTGTTGGGGTTTTTTTCTCCCAATATTTTATCATATCATAGCATGTCTACTCTTCAGAATTTTTTGAGATGTGCTATTTATGGCAGCAGTACAAAACCTTTTAGCGTAAGGTGACTTTTTAGCAATATCTTTTATAGTAAAATAATTTTTTTAAAAAATTATGATAACATTATGAAATCTCATACTTTTAATTAGTAGAAAAGCAATTTGGAAAGCAATCAAAAAAAGCAGGGTGGGGAAAGAGTTCAAAAATAGTTTAGTCACCAACTAGATGAGATAAAATTGTTAGGATAAGCAAATGCTCAGTTGAAAGAAGCTGCCTAGAGCAGTAATTAAAAAGCGGCCATTAAAAAACTTGTGATAATTATTCTTTGTTTACACAAGGGATATAAATGTATTAAATTACAAATCTATATATGAGGGTATTAAAACTTCATATTTGAAAGTACTAAAAGTCCTCATCAGTCTTTCAGCCTGTGACTCAGAGGGCTAAATCTTTTTCACAGTGCAGCATTACTCGCATAAGGTAAACAGAATTGCCCCTCTGTGTGATTTGACCAAAATGTTCTGCATGCTTCTGGCCCTGCTAAGATGAGTTTCTGGATTCATGAGACTCATTGAGATTTCTTCCTTTTGAAAAAGCTACCAGATCTGATCTTTCTCAGTTGATACAGTTAGTTCCTTCCAGAAATTTATACTAACAGAAGAACTCCATCTGGAGCAGAAGAAACTTCTTTTTTTTAGCTGAGAAACACAAATTATTCACCAGGCTAGACATATAAACCTAAAACTTAATATCAAACGTAAATATGTGAAGATACTTGGAATATTAGGCGTCTTTACTGCCATTTTCTGTCCCTGTCATGCCACATCTCCCCACCAGATGGCAGTAGTGACCCGTAGGTACCAATGCCGATCACTTTCTACAGTGGAAATTATTTATCAGTCTTGGATTCTGCTGCGGAATGTGCCAAGTACATAAACACATCTGTCTTTACATATATTTCTGCCCAATTCATATTAGTTTGGAAATAGTTGATTGATGTTTTAATATGGCAGAGACACGTCTGATACAATTTTATGTCTCCCGTGCATAATGTGTGTGGGTTTTTTTTGTTTGTTGGTTTGTTTGTTTTTTGAAATGTGGTCAGTGTCATAATCAGGATTGCTACCTTCAAAAGATTTTCCTAGAAGTATTGAATACTGAATCAGCATGTTGGAATAAAATCAGTTAAGTAATTAAGCTTGCCACTCATCTAGTCTCTGATCTTACCAGTGTCCCTGATGTGCCCTCCAGAAGAACAGACCTCAATTTCTCTGAAAAATCTGCATTTTGCATAAATTACTACTACTGTTCAGTAAATGCTTTCACTAAGATGTTGTCTTTTCTACATGTAGAATAAATAAACTGGGGTCAGGCAGTGATTTTGAAGCTTACTTTCAGCGACTGGGAATTGCATCAGGCAGAGCTCGTTACACCAAGAATAGGGTAAGTCTGCCAGATTGCTTGAAAAATTTTGATAGTGCTGAGCAGTCATCCTGCAACAAGCATTTATTCAGAATTAATAAACAAGCTTCAAAGCTTTGACTGGATTGTATATCAGTGCCATTTCTTAATTTAGCAAGAAACCTAAATGTCTGTAGAAGAAAACTTGTTACAGTGATGTTGTATATTCTATAGGATGTCAAGTTCACAGAAAGGTATTTATAGAATTTGATTGAAGGTATACAGTTCATTTCACCATGCTATTAGTAAGCTTTTTAATATACAAGTCTTCCATGATTGTGTTCAGAAATAGCTATGCAAGATAAAAAGGGGCTGTGATTGAGGACCTTTGCTATCCAAAACCCAAAACTGTTTTCACTCTTGGTGAAGGCAATCTCTGTGCAACGGAACTGAAGACAGGTCTGTGTAGGTAGAGAGAAGGAAGCCATTTCACTTAATCCTGTGCAACGGTCCATGGATTCAGACTGGTTTAGTTTCTTAAGATGACCAAATAAAAATGAAGAATAGAAAATTGTATTGTGTAGCAAATAGGGGTTTTGTTTTGGAAACTGTATGAAACATCATAGTCATTAAGTGATCAATACATGTCTTAACTGCAGTCAGAATACAGAGCACTGACAAATTTCCTTGATCTTTTCCAGAAAGCAGACAAATTCAGCAATTATCCTGTTTATCACACTGGGTATGAGACATTTGAACTAGTGGAAAAATTTTACGACCCCACTTTCAAGAAACAGCTAACAATTGCCCAGCTACGAGGAAAACTGGTTTATGAACTGGCAGATTCCCAAGTCATTCCATTCGACTGTAGAGATTATGGAGAAGCCTTAAAAGGATATAGCAATAGAATTTATAAATTGGCCAAGAAGCATGAAGAAAAGCTGAAACTTTACAAAGTGTCATTTGGTGAGTAATAGCCACAAGACTGTCTCTTATGTATGTTAATTAGAATCATGCAGGGGCATGTCATATCTGTTACAGCTCTGCAACTGAATTCCTTATTTTCCTGTTTGAATTTTGCCATCATAAGAAAGAGCCTCTAATTTCATGCATATTATTAAATATAGGTATTATTAAGGTGCTCATGGGCAGTCAGGGACCTCAGATGCAGAATAGAGAGATATCTCAGCCTGCTTTTCACTTTCTTGCTTAAAAAAGAAGACAAATTAAATGCTTATGGTGATTTCTTGGAAGTTGAGAGACACAGGCGCCTGCTCCTCCTGTGTCAAAGACTTCATCTGACCTCCAGGGAACTTGTTTACCATCTGCCTCAGTGCATGGCTACCAGTTTTAGGCCACAGAAGCATTTCGCTAGCTCTCCTGCATTAATACATCCATTTGCTAAGCACTTGAACACATTTCTCTGTAGCATATAAAACAGGTCTGAAGCAGCAGAGTGCTCTGGGTCCCAGGCTATGATGGCTTCCACAGTAATTTTCTGTCTCCCTGTCTCTCTTTCTTCTTTTCTCCTTCTTGCCTTGTTAACTTCTTGTGTTTCTGTACTAAGGAGATTTTTCAGTCAGTCCTAATTCACTTGCCATCTGATGGACCAATAATTTAGAGACATAAATTAGCTTTTTGGAGATGCAGTCCTCTTTTGGACTATGCATTAGAAGTAACTCAAATTGAATCTACCTTTGGGGATAATTAAAAATGACATTTAAAACTTGATGTAATGGTTTAGGTGAAAAATTCTTGACTGTTTTTAAAATACATCCCTTTTTGTAAAAAGGCCTCTGGATACAGAGAAAGCCTTGTGTGATGGATCATCTAGTCTGAGATTCTGCATAACACAGGGATTTATTTCAATATTGTCTAGTGTTCACTGCAGCATATTTCAGCATATCTGAAAATTTTTTTTGTAGTAATAGAACATCTACTAAAATTTATGTGAAATAATTTATTTTCATTGTTTTTTTCTCTATTTCATATTAGAAGTTGACCAAACTACCTTCTAACCAATGCATCTATTCTTGTTCCTAGAATGTAGAGGCAATATTTTTTTAGCTTTTTTCTTTTTTTTTTTTTTTACGCAAATACCACTAAACATCTCCTTAACAGCTTTATCAATGTGTAATTTTGACCATTTCTTTGCAAGGCATGTTTTTCAGTCTTTTCATTATTTTCATGTCTCTTCTCTCATGCTTGTTAAGTTTTAATTCATTTCTTGAATGAAAATATAATTTCTAATTTTTTGTTTGTTCTATTGCATCAGAGTGCATTAAAAAGCATAGGTAGCTTTTACAGTACTGTGAAAATTAAAATTCATTTCACTCAACATTTTCATAGAATTGCTTATTGACAACACTGAATGTCAGAAAATTGTTAATTAAACCGGAATAAATCACATAATTGTCCTTTAAAATAATAGATTAAGGGCTTTATTTCCCTTTGGATTCACATTTCAGCTGTTCCTCTGCAACAATGAAGGCTAGAAACTTTTCTCATAAAATATGTGCTTGTAGTAATATGCTATCAGGAAATAAAGTTTGGGGAAAAAAGAAATGTGATATTTTCTAAAATAACCAATACTGACAACACTAAATAGCTAGCGAACATGAACACAAAGTTTCTTACATATTTTCAGATGACCTTTTTTTTTTTCCCCTCTTAAATCCCCTCCTACTGCTTCTGAAATGTAATCTGTTGCTGCGATATAACCATGATGTGAGCAGGGCAGAACTCTGTCCTCTGGCAAACTTACAGCTATTGCCACAGCTGTGGACAAGTGTGAATTCTCACCCTCTCAAGGTGACATGGGTCTCTCCATGCTGCAGTCCACAAACAAATTGCATACATAAAATCTGTGTCTCTAATTGCATAAACTAAACAACAATATTAATACAAGAAGAAGAAAGTGTAGGCTTATGGTGAATAAATAAGTTTGCTAGAAACAGAAGAGCAAATGAGACTGAAGAAAAGCTTTCAATAGGAGTCCTGGGAATAGAAAGCATGTCACATGAAATTGGGTGATGAATTTATAAACAGTCAAGGGATAATAGTTGCCAACAGAGGACTGAATTTAGGAGATGATCTAATCTTATGTCCTATTTTCCTGTACAATCAAAGAGAGGATGCTCTCTTGGTTTATCTAATTTTCTAAAACTTGTGGGCAAAATGTACAAGGTATAAAATTTCCTTCTTTGTAATTGAGTTGAGTTTTGGTGGGGCCAGAAGTTCTCCTCATAACATCCCCCTGTTACTTATTCTACAAAAATTACTTGTATAAATTGATAATTTTCACAGGTCTGTATTAAACAGAGCCTACCACAAGAAAATCATCACAGCTGCTACTGCCATTAACAGGAAGACCTCTGCTTCTTTGGCTAAGTTACTCCACATGGCTTGAATGTACTGCCAGGGACAAGGCAGGAAAAAACAACTGCCATAGCTGCAGCTATGACTGCACAGAGCCAGGCACAGCAAGTAAAATCCCGCGGCAGCACTGCAGGACAGCACGTGGGGTTGTGGCAGAGACACCTCCTATGCTGTAATTCCAGCATGGAGCAACCACAGGACTCAGCTACTTTAATCTACTGTGTGTATCACTGTCTTCCAAGACAGCTGCGTCTTTTGTGCCTCACCTAATGCTGTTCAATACACATACCACACTCTTCTGTTATGCTATGAATAGCACATCATGCTCCTAGAGCGAAATCCTGCTGTTCTTCACAGCCTTCTGGAACAGCTGATATTTTTCATGAAAGTCAGGCATTTTATACCTAAACACTACAGTGCATCCTTTTGTTAAAAAGGAGACTGCAGATCTCCCAGTTTGCAATGCCAGCCAGTTTTTCCTTGCAAGGTAGAGGGAATATGTGAAAACTTGTGAAAACTTTACCATGCATTCTGCTTTACTGTTGGTCTCATTGCACAAGGTATTTGTCTATTACTGCTAGTAGTGCAGCTCTTTAAAGTCTGCATTAGGGAAGCTAATCATTTATGGAAAGACAAAAAAATTAATACTATTATATCAGCAAGACAAATTGCCCAGTTTCTCCCACTGGGCAACTCAAAGGTAGATTGGGCTCAGTAAATATTCTAAAGTTGTTCACAAAGTCCTTCCTTTTCTAGATCCTCTTTTTTCTTCTGTGGTGAATTTCTCAAAGGCTGCTGATGAATTTCACAGGAGACTTGAACAAGTGGACAAGAAAGAGTAAGTATGAAAAAAAGTTTTATATATATATATATGTGTGTGTTTGTGTGTGTGTATGCATATATGTACATCTGTCTTAGGTACCAAGGGTGGCTGTTCTTTCTTTCAAGTGACAACACAAGGAGTCTCTCTACAGAGCCCTTGAACTCTGAGACAGGCTAAGAAATTAGCAGTGATGAACAGTATCAGCTGTAGAGCTTATTACAGGTGTCAGATTGACATCAAAATTGTTGTAATACATGGAAAGGCAGATAGTCCAACTTTAACTTTCACTGCTGAGCTCTGTATTTAGACACCTACACTTGAGTGTTGTAGGTGATGCCAGAATTTGTACATTCAGCACACTTCAAGGAGAAAGGATGATGCTTCAGAGATATCTGTAGGATGCTTGCAAACCTAAGGGCCCTACGGGACTCCTGTGCTTTCTGAGAGTGGAGGCCAGGTGCTCCTAGGCACCTAGTAGGGTACCAGATAGTTGTGTTTAGGCAACTGAATCCCATCCTTACTATGTTACTAGGAGTATGGATACTTGACTTATGGGATGGGCATCAAAATCTAGCTATCTTCACCTTGACCTAAATCTCAGCCTTCCTCTGCTCTCTGTTGAGATCTTTCTCATGCCATTTAACACTAAGCAAGTATCTGACACCCGAAACTTTCCCATTTTATTTTGCGTAGTGTGAAATCTTGTTGTTTTCTAACATAGAAATTTCAATGCATTAATAAAACATGTATTGAATATCTCCATTTGCAAAACCTCATCTTTTTTTGAAAATTGTAGACCATATTTGTCTTTTTTATTTCCGTCCAAAAAAGAAGAAAAGTGTTTAAACGAAACTGGGAAGTCATGTTTCCCCACTGTGTGAAATGTCTCTGTCTCCATCTTCCACAGTCCAGTCGCAGTGAGAATCATGAATGATCAGCTGATGTTGATAGAAAGAGCTTTCATTGATCCTCTGGGCTTGCCAGGAAGGAGGTTTTACAGGTGAGGCAAGTAATTTCTCAACCCACTGTCTAAGGCACTGTATTTTTGCAGGTGAACCCCCCACCAGTTAAATTTCTGTATAGGTCTCATATAGGAATTACAGCTCAACACATTGCTTTAGGTACAATCCAGTGAGCAGTAGATTTTGCTTATAATCCCCAAGGAGAATTCCTTGGCTACACCGGTCTTGTGGTGCCAAATTCCTCTCCTTGGGTCTGGCCCTCTGCTTTTATTAGCTGTGGTAAAACCACACCATCATCATACTCTGTGACTTCTACTAGCAGGTGTGAAGTACTACTGCTGTTACCGCTTGCTCTTTTGAACCTGCACAAAATGAGGATTGAGTGGAGAATCAAAAAAAAGGAGAAATGAGGATAGAGTAAAAGGGAGATAAGGGTGAGAACAGATGAGTAGTGAGGGTCAGTTGAAGAGAGAAGCAGAGAAGAGAGAGCTTGAAGAGGGAGGGACCTTTCAGCACAGGATGGATAAAGGCCCATGAGCTGCGCTGCAGAGGTCCCTTCTGTCCCAGGTTTAGCTGCTTCTATAGATGGAATAGCTTAAATCATTAACTACTATATTCTTTCTAGAAACTCAGTGCTTTTATTAGTAATACCTGACAAGAAGCCAGCTTCCAGTGTCAGGTGTGTGACTACCTCACTTTGCTCTCAGTATCCCCCTTTTCCTAATGACAGGATATATCTGACTCACTGATTGATGTCTTTCATGTCAAGCCAGAAGTCCCTCAGGCAGGTAGAATTGAGAATCACACTTCCATCCTCCTAGGATAAACTGTCATTCACACTTTGGGAAGAATCAAATTGCTGCTTTCTACAGTTCTTGTTGGGTGTTAGGTATCATTTAGAGATGTCTGGATTTTTTTTTTTACTTTTTTAATTTCTTGCCTTTATTAATATAGTTTTAATGTTTATTTTGATTTGGGAGGACTCCTTCACATGCTGCAAATGTGCTTTGATATTTCGTATTTAAAATCAAACCAATCTAAGAGAATATACGCAGCTATCCATTATTTCGGAAAAAAATCCTGCACGAACAAATAAAATTAATACTTTTTGTGCAGTTCTGATCCAATATGGTCACTTCTGATCTCTGAAGATTCCTAATTCACCCATAGGTTTTTTTACCTTCTTTTTACATTCCTGCTGACCATCATGCAGCTACTTAGTTATTTTTGAGGTTTCTGTTCCATTTCTTATGATACGCCTATAACTAGTTTTATTCCCTTTTTCAGACTGCCAAATTAGTTCAACAGGTTTGTTGAGCTCCCATTTTCAAAAAGTGTAACATGGTTTTGTTTCTAATTAAACAAATGCGTCATTTCTTCCCAAGAAGGCTACCTGACCTAAATGTGTGCCCTTTCACATAGATGTTGCCCTTGGGGCTGGCTCCTGTCCTTTTAAAGATATGTCCAGCTAGCTTTCCTGTGTATTTAGTAAGCTCGGATCTTCCTGGGATTCACAGATGTTCCCTACAATGAACCCCCCCCCCCATTAATAGTCAGTCTTATTAAGTATACTTATATTTTGATTCTTTCCCCACAGACATGTCATTTTTGCTCCAAGCAGTCACAACAAGTATGCAGGAGAATCCTTCCCAGGGATCTATGATGCCATGTTTGACATTCAAAGCAAAGCTGATCAACGTGAAGCCTGGGAAGAAGTGAAGAGGCAAATTTCCATTGCAGCCTTCACTGTACAGGCAGCAGCAGAAACACTGAAGGAAGTAGCATAGGATGATGGCTTTGAAAAGTCACACATAAAAGTCTGACATGCAGAGTAGGTCAGGCTACCGCAGTGACCCAGTCTCCTCTGAATGCCTGCCGTATCTGAGTTTCCAACCTTCCAAATGCATGCAAATGTGCTGGCAGGGTAAGCAGGAGCTTTGTGTGTCAAAAAACTCCTGAGCTAGAAATTACTGCGTCTCTGACACTGACAGAACTGCAGCTTTATGAACAGCCCCAGATGGAAGCAAATTTGGATGTGGGGAGAGTGGGGAGGGTGGGGAGCAGGAACAATCAGTTCCCAATTAGAGTTTTCTGAAAGATCTGCCAATTTTGAGAACCTGTTGTTTTGGAAGTATAATTACACAACCAGTTATTTGCCAAGCTACCTGTAACTTTTGTCCATAGCAGTGATCAACAGAACACATTTTGAGAGAAAAAATATAACACTTTTCAGCCTGTGTATCTTTCCTGTTCTGATAATTACTTTTATAATATAAGACATCAGAGGCATTCCTGTGTTTTAGAATACATTGTGCAGGACTGGTGAATGCTCCTTGCACTGTTTTGCTCTCTCTTTTCCTGAAAAAAATAAAATAGTGGCCTTCCCTCTGATGAAATCCAAAGCATGTTCTCAGGGGCGTAAATGCCCATCCCTCTGAAAGCCACTATGTATCTTCCTCCTTTATTTGCACTCTGGAAAATAAAGATTTTGGGGGACAACCAAAAGCTGTGCTCTTTTTGGCACTTTCACTAGTCCCAAAGCCATGGCAGCTTTTGTTCCTACTTTTTCCCAGGAGATCTTTTTCAAGCAGATATCTTTGTCCAGCTGAAAGAGCTGGAAGAAATTGTCACTATTGGAACAGGGTTTGAGATTATTCTGTGTTCAACTACAACTAGAAGAAAGATTTTACATTCAAAGATAAACTGAAATGCATGAGGATGGTAATTGTACAAAACTGTTAAATTTGTAAAAAAAAAAAAAGGATTCTTGCTTCATTTGCCCTTTGATATAATTCTCATTTACATGCTTTACAACTAATAAAAATGCTACAATTTTATTTGATCACATTCCAGTTTGTGGGAGCTGACACTAACCAATTTCTTCTTTAATGTAAAATATACTACAGTTTTTCTCACGACCATAAATTGCACCGGGTTGTGGGAATAAAATCCTTTTTTTTTTATGGAGAATAGAACAGATGTGGTACTAAAAGGGATAGAATTAGAGAAACAGGACAGAGGAGTTGTTCTCATGTCAGATGCCTTGAATTCAAACAAGGGAACCAGAAATTACTATACTCAGGCACATGAGGAGGAAATTACACTTCCACAGTCCATGCTTTACCTCTTCTGTTCAAAAACAGAGTGCTTAACTGACCTTGTCAGCACACACCTAAGAGAATGAGTAGTCGATGCTGGGGACACCAGAACAAGGAGACGATTCTCCCCCTCTTCTCTGCTCTGGTGAGGCCTCACCTGGAGAACTGCATTCAGCTCTGGGGTCTCCAACATAATAGGGATGTCAGCCTGTTGGAGCAAGTCCAGGGGAGGCCACAAAGATGATCAGAGGGCTGGAGCACCTCTCCTATGAGGAAAGGCTGAGAGAGCTGGGGTTGCTCAGCTTGGGGAAGGAAAGGCTCTCGAGAGACCTTATTACAGCCTTACAGTATATACAGTATATATATACAGTATATAAAGGGTCTACAAGAAAGCTGGAGAGGGACTGTTTACAGGGGCATGTAGTGATAGGACAAGGAGGAATGGCTTCAAACTGGAACAGGGTAGGTTTAGAGTAGAAGAAATTATTGTGAGTGTAGTGAGTCATTGGAACAGGTTACCCAGAGAAGTTGGAAATGTTCAAGGCCAGGTTGGATGGGGCTTTCAGCAACCTGGTCTAGGTGTCCTTGCCTATGGCAGTGGGGTTGGAACTAGATGATATTTAAAGTCCCTTTCAACCCAAACTATTCTATGATTCTATGAACAGTGACTACATTTTTGTTGTTCTCTTTATTTCTACCTAACTGGGGATATTCATAGTTACTAAGTTCGTCTCCACATCTGTAGCTGAAGTTATTGCTTAAGGATGTGATATCTTGCAAATGGTGACTGGTAATAATTGCACTGGGTTTTTTTCCCCTTTTTTCAAATCGTGCACTCTTCCTGCTCCATCATAACTTTACCTTAACTGCAATGGGCAGTAATAGAATGTGCTCCCAAGAAAGGGTTAGAATATCTAGATAGCTGAAAAAAGCCTTTAGTGCCCCTTCCTCGTGAGCAGCAGGCAACTTTGGAACTGTCAGTGCTTGCTGCTTTAGGATCATCAGACGATAAGGCAAACAAGGAATTTCCACACAAAAAGGAAATATCTGATGAAGTGTGCCTCCTCCTTCATTTATGGAAATACCTTTAACAGTATAAACTAGTGAACAAATGTTTCACCAGTAAACGTACTCTTTCAGTGGCAGCTAGCCTTCGAAGTTCTGTACCGTTACCTTGCTGCTGCAAAAGAATATATAATCTCCTCTTGTTTCCCTGTGCAGTTGGAAGCTGTAAGAATAAATTACAGCTCACAACAGGCTGAATGCACAGCTGGCATCGATCGCTTTGTTCCTCTTGTCAACTTAACTGATAACTCTGTATGAACGTACAATTCATCCCAACCTGCTACATCCTAAGTATACAAATCAGCTTAAATCTATTTCCATTAGTGTCTATAAAGTTCTACTGAAGGAGAGTGATATCCAAACCCTCATAAATAAGGAAACCAAAGCACTTATAAATGGCTTATACTAATTGATTTCCAGGAAAATCCCATATTCTCAGTATCAAAAGGATCAGTTTCTCAGAACTGCGACTGCCTTTCCTTCCGCAGTGAGCAGAATCTTCTGTTCTACAGATGAGCAAAAAAGCAACTGCTGATGTTCCTCAGCCCAAAGGCTGCTGTATTCATGTAGCTTTGCCTGCCCATAATTTCAAAGTGTGGGAAGGGGATTTTTTAGATTCTCCTTAAAAATGGATAACACTGGATCACCTACTCTGTCCTTTCCCAATTCCATTAACAGTTCCTTCACTCAGCCTTGCTGAGTGAAGCAATCAGTTGATCCTACAGTTGAGAGAAACAGACCCTTCAGCCTGCAAAGTGACTGAGGCTGTAAAACAATTTGGTAAAATTAAACTTGGATGAACCAAATATCACTTGGGTATTTGGGCTGTCAGCCATCTCTTTAGAAAATCAGTTTCAAAAGGACAGTGCCAGGAAGCTTTTTTCATCTTGGAGACAAACTTTTAAGCAGGACATGTTGTGATAGTAAAGGAGGTAATGGTTTTAAACTGGAGGACGGTCAATTTAGATTAGATGTAAATAAGAATATTTTTACCAGGCAGGTGGAGAAACACTGGAACAAGTTGCCCAGACTGATGGTAGATGCCTCATCTCTAGAAAGATTCAGGGTGAGGTTGGACAGGGTTCTGAGGAATCTGACCTAGCTGAAGATGTCCCTACCCATGGCAGTGGGGTTGGACTAGATGGCCTTTAAAGGTCCCTTCCAACCCAAACCTTTCTTTGATCCAATGATTCAGATTCTCTTATGGTTGAAATGCCTTTGGTTTACCTTTGGAAAGAAATCCATAACACTTGGTGCTGGAATCTCCAGGTGACACTGTGTCAAACGGAGCTGGAGATCTCTCTGCAGCTGGTAGGAATAGGATATACTCAGCATGACCTGTTTTTTTTTCTTCTAAATTCCTCTATTTTCATTCATGAGATTTTAGTGTACAGTTAACAGTGCTATTAAAAAAGCTGAATGATGGTGAATGCCATGGACTTCCCTACGGCAGAGCAGAGAAGACAACACTAATTAAACGAAATACATAATTCTCGTTTCTGCTACACTATTCTGAGCCAAAGTGTTGTACTCCTCACTGAGCAACACCTGCTACACAGAAAGTGCCCCTAGAGAAATCAGTAGGAGCTGAATTCAGGAAGCAGTCTTTTTTAAGGTAAAAGATTGTTCCCATTACACCACTGAGACTAAAACTGGAATCTGTGAAGTCAAGGAAGCTCCTGTCATTGTCAACACAGTGCTTCTCCGAATGGATCCTACACCTTTAAACATCTTCTTCAGCTTGGGAAGCTCAAAGAATCAAGGAGGAGGAAGAGGAGGAGGAGGAAGAGTGCTTTGTTAGGCACCTCATGGAGGAGAGGCTGAACCTAGTTCAAATAAACTGCAAACATGTTACAACCTGCTATTAAGGGAAAGAACAGGAGAGGCAATAATAGAAAAGCATTTCACAGGAGAGTATTGGATAAGAACAGACTTGCTATGTTTACATGGCACCTTCCCCAGATGTGCTTTGCTAGCTTGCTGAGAGTGCAGCTGACATATTCCTGATGCTGCCATCCACATTACTTGCAAACTTGGTTGTATTTTTAGAAGGATACCCAAGTCACAGCTGCTGGACACAGTGACTGTTGTGACACTACACTCTTATGTAACCCATAAGAAGCAGGACTTCAGGCTGAGGAAACATTGCCAGCTGAGAACACTGAGCACTGGAGAATTTAGCTCTCTCTGAGATCACTCATCCCTTCAGATATTCCCGGAACTAACACCCTCCCCCCTCACCTACTAAAGCACTGCTTTTGTTTCCTCAGCTCTGTCTCCCAAAGCCATGTTTCCATACTCTTTCCACCTGAGCCTGCATGCCCAGACACCTGCACTAAAGCTACCGTCAGCCTGCAACACATACCAAATTATCCTGGCACCTCCACTTGCAGGAGTGTGAGCACTGACAGCAGTGATAGCATCACCCACTGCCACGGCAGAGGAGTCAAACACAAGTATCCTGCAGGTCATCTTATGGGCAGAACGAAACACACTTCATAAGTAAAGCCAGGTTCATTGTTAGTGTGCTTGAAATCTTAACAGTGATCAAAGAATGATTAGTCTCTATTATTAATAAAAGAACAAAGTAACAAAGTAGTTCAGTAACAAAGCAGTTAGAATATTTATGGGCTGTTTTCCTTCTCAGGATCTCCAGTATCATGTGCCCCTTCTCTAAACATCTCATGTCTCTGGTCCTCTACAGCACATCCCATGCCTGTTTTCAAGGCCCTGCTTGTATCAGACTGGTATTCATCTGCTATATGGCGCTAAAATCATAAATATGTTGCTCTACACAGAAAACCTGCTTGTTATAGGATCTATAGTATCTATGTACACCATGCAGCTATAGATTGAGAAACAAAGTAAAACAAGTCAGGCAACAGCCACCTGGTCATGAGAAAACTTTTAACAGCCAAACAAGCCACAACAAAGCTCTGGGCAGGTGAAGAGAAGTTCAGAAGAGCAAGCCTAGCATTCCTGAGACAGACCCTGCAGAGCTGGAACAAAACTCGTGCTCTGACACCAGCCATGGGAATCCTGTATTCACTGAGCTGTCAGCAGAGATCAGTATTCAGGGACTACTTAGAGGGGAATCCCAAGTTTTTGAAAGAACAATCATTAAGGAAAGCTACTTATCCATAGTCATATTTACACTTGGTGTCTAGTCCTGGCAAATCTGAGAAATGGATGAAATGGATCCAGCTTTTCTTTCTAAATTTTCAAACCATCCCTGCTCACCTAATTCAGCCTGTCTGGACTTTGGTTTTTCAAATATTCTTGTCATCTGCAGTCTGATAAAAAGTAACTTGCCCAAGGACTAGGTATTCATATGGGATTCAAAGTGTAAATGCAAGACTCAGCACCTGCCTTTCAGGCAGCATGACACTCAGTTTTGTACTAAAGCACAATTACTAGAATATGGAGAAGCACTGGCAAAATCTATCAGCTTTCTCATGGCTACTGCTCATTTTGCAGACAACTATACTTAACATTTCAGTGAAGAACACCTGCAATATATGAACGGAAAAGGAGGATGTACAACACCGCAGGTTGCAGTATAACCCTGGAAAGTTATGCTGATTTAAGTACCCCACGGGACAGTTTAAGGTAAAACATACATGCACTATATAATAAAACTCTGAAATGCAAAAGCTCATTAAAGTTACACATGCTTTAGCTT